TGTTGTGAACTGGCTTTTTGCTGCCTAATTGTAATTATGTAATTTAATAGTATATATATAATAATCATGGGAACGGAAGCCTCTATTGTCTTGTATAAAGTATTTACCAGGCAAGCATCTAGTTCTTCTAGAACATTCGATGCTTGCTCAGCCTTTTTCAATGCATTGGGCCTACGGCCGCCGCCGCCTGAGGCGACGCGCCAGTAGGAGTCAGCTACTCGTTCAAGAGTCATAGAGTTCATAGGGTCGAACCTGGACGACTCTCCACTGAATCTTTTGTTAATTTGCTCACTGAATCTTTTATGTTAATTTGCTCATTGAATCTTTTATGTTAACTTGTTCACTGAATCTTTTATATTAATTATCAACTAATTAAAATCGAGAAGTTAATTATAAGTGTAAACATATTTTTAAATATAATAAACTAATTATCAAACGCATTATCTCTTCATTTTGTCTACCGTACCAACTCGGTCACAACAGAATCATAGAACCACGTAGCAAGAGTTAGCAATAGTACAGAGAATATAACACGATAATACACACAGTAAAACGCGAGACTTTTTCGTTTCCGGTGTGCAGCGCAATCGATTCTCAAGCGTAACGCGACAGGGACTTGGACGGGGTTACAGTGATGCCGTCTCTCGCAAAACCGGTGGTGATAGTGTAGGTGGCGTTGCCAATCATACAAAATAAATAAAAAAACGCTCTCTCGCAATTACATATCCAACGGTACTATGAATTTAAAATTCCATATAATTTAGTGGTTATTAATAAAATAATAGCAATATACAGACAATGAAAAATATTGCTACTTAGACCAAATTCATTTCCCAGAGACTTGAACGTGTGAAAATTACTGATTGAGTCCGCGGATTTTAAAATCGTTTATTTGGATTACCAAAAATTTTTTTCAAAAATGATGAGATCCTTTCAAAAAAATTTAACTGCGCTTGTATTAAATTATTAGATAATATAAATTTATTTTTTAATCACTGATATTTATTTTTTTAAGACGTTCGAAGAAGAGAGCATTATATTGAATTACATGAATGGAAATAGCTATTACTCATACAGTGGTATGTATAAATCATGTTGAATAAATCCGTATGACAACTGTTAAAACCTTTTAATTTCTTATAATGATAAAACATAAATTTAATGTAATGTCTCTGAAAAAATTGTCTAATTATGAAATTATTTTATTTACAGCTCAAGGTATTAATAATTTACAGTCGTTTATTCAACAAATAGACGAAAACATTCATTTCAAAGTAGTTAAAATCTATGTAAGTTTATCAGTATGCTTACGATATACATGAGTACTTGAATTAAAAATTTTAATCTTTGTAAATAAAATTTATTGTAAATAAATGCAAGACTTATCAAGGAGTGCATCACGAATGTAAATAAGACTCGATACAATCAATTTATTTTTGTATTAAAATGATTATTTCAATATTTTAAAAATTGAAATAGTGTTCGTAAGGAAACTAAGCAGGATTGTAATTTTTGGATATAAAATGTAGAGGTTAAAATATAAAAATCAAAACAAATATTTTACAAATAATTTCACTGCAATACAGTTGGGACAACTGTGTTACAGTTAACACAATTAGTATATTTATGTATTAACTGTACTATTTATTTATTTATGTTTGAAAAATTTGTTGATATTTCCGTGTGTCACTTAGCTTAATAGTTCTACGTTTGTTTTATTGACGGCCATTTTGGCGTATTTGTCAGCAGCTTCGTTGTCTTTAATTTGGGTGTCGCCTTTCTTGTTCTATATGAGCGTTGCCATGTTACTTGTGTACAAACTGTTTTTTTTGTGGTTGATGGTACTGAATCTGATATAATTCGTATGCTCTTCAGTGGTATAAAATTAACACTTGCTATGATATTTGTACATTATGCGTTTATTTTCTAGTGTTACAAATATTCTTAAGTTTTCTTTAGTTCTCAAAATATCCATTAAAATATACATTATACATTATATTCGTTAAGGCATCTTATTTTAAAATATGTTAGGAAGTGTACATTTTTTTGGCAAGGAACTAAATTTGTTGTTTATTTGATATGATGAGTTCCATGGGGGTTTATGTTGTTTTCTTGGTTTATAATTCGAGGTACATTGATTAGTTATAGTCTTCAATCAGTCAGTGCAATTATTTTTTAATGTATTAGCTTCCATACGAAGCTGATAAGGCATTAATTTTACTATAATTTACATATATATATATATTTATATATATATATTTCTGATGCAACTTTTTTTTCGGCTCTCACTGGACCTATTTCTCTCAACGACACGTTAAATGATTACGAATCGTATATAGCTGAAAACATTGCACTTAAACATTTTAAAATTTTCCTCGTTCCCTGTAGAAGAATAATTTTAAAATCAGTAAATTTCAACATTTTTTAAACTTCTTTTACTTAAAACTGCCATAACTTTTTGATAAATGAATATAAAAAACAATTTTTTTTTCATATATACATTAGTTATCATTTGGCATAATTTATTTTTAAATATTTTATCTGACCACAGTAGGAAATTCAAAATGACAAATTTTCCACAAAAAATTAGATTTTGAAAATATTCTGAAAATACTAACTTTTTTATATACATGTTTTTTATCACAATCCACTGAATTACTTACAGAATAAATATTATTTATACATTTTTTAGCTTCGATGCAAAGCAGAGAAGGTATTAGTTTTACTAAGATGTGTTTATTTTTTCTGTTTTTTTTTTTTTTGTGTCTGTCACCACTTTTTCTCAGTTCTCACCGAATGGATTTCTTTCAACGATACGTCAAAAGATCACAAATCGTATCTAGTTGAAGACATTACCCTTAAAAATTGAAAAAAATTCCCCCGCTCCCCGTAAATGGGGGAAACCTCCAAAAAATTACAAATTTAAAAATCGATAATTTTCGAAATTTTTTCAATTTTTTTTACTAAAATGTGCCGTAACATTTTCAAAAATGAACATTTCAATATAATTTTTTTTTATTGATGCTTGATATCTTTATCTATCATTTGGTATATATTTTTTGTAAATCTGACACTTAACCTGCTCACAGGTGGCATTTAATATGACAACTTTTGACGTCTGGACTTGTCTTCGTGGTGAAAGTTGACATCAAAGTTGATAAAAAATGACGATTTTTGTAAAATAATTTTTTTTTATATTTCTAACTTAATAATGCTCTAACTTTTTCAAAAATTAACATATCAATATAATTTTTTTTATATAGATGCTTGATGTCTTTACTTATCATTTGGCATATTTTTTTTGATTTTTATCTATAACTTATTGAAAAGTTTATGGATCCACACAATTTTTTTATGAGAAATAATAATTTTTAATAATCCCTTTTTCATTCGACATACTTTATCTGAATCAGGATATTAATAACAAACTAGCAGATCATGTATAATCCACCAATTTTTTAAAATTAAACACTAACTAAAGATTTGCATCGAAGCGTTTATTTTTGATAGTGATTTTAATCACTGTAAGATATCATTATACTTGATCCAACTATACCACGGCACCACTGTGCTGGGTTTTTTTTTTATGATTATCTTTAGTTACACATAAATCTTGAATTATTAACAATGTAATACTTTTTCAGTTCATTCCTTATGTTTTGTAAGGGTGTTACAGTCACGGAGTTTTTATAGTCACTTTTGATTATCATTAGTTATACTTTCTGTATTGCCAGTAAGTGTATTTATAAACTCACTACAATATGCCTTACTGCTATTAATATTAAATTATGCATATTGACGTCATAAAAAACCAATTAGCTAACTATACGAGGTGTGACAATAAAATAACGATTTTTTTTAATAAAAGTTATTTATTTTAAAAAATTTACAATTTAATGATTGTCACCTTCAAAGTACCTTCCCTCAGCATCAACACACTGCTGCATACGTCGCTGCCATTCTTGAAAACAATATTGCTAATCGCTTTCAGTTAGCCCTTTTAGAAGTTCTGCCGTTTTCATTTTTACGTCATCAAATGTTTGAAAATGGATTCCTTTTTAAAAACTTTTAATTTTTGGGAATAAGAAGAAATCACAAGGAGCAAGATCTGGCAAGTACGGGGGATATTGAAGTATAGAAATATTTTTTCAGTTAAAAAACTTTGAATTGAAAATGCCCTGTGAGCTGGAGTATTGTCTTGGTGAAGAACCCAGCCATTCTTCCACAGATCTGGTCGCTTTTTTCTAACACGTTCTCTTAATTTAATTAATACATCTTTATAATAATATTGGTTGACAGTTTGCCTATTAGGAACCCATTCAACAAAAATTATTCTCTTAATGTCAAAGAAAACAATGAGCATTGCTTTGAATTTCAACTTGCTCATTCGTGCTTTCTTCATTCTTGGGGAAGTTGATGTCTTCCAATGCATAGATTGCCTTTAAGTTTCAGGATCATATGTAAAAATCCACATTTCATCACACGTAATGATATTATTTATAAAAGATGGATCATCTTTGATAATTTTTAAGGTGTCAGAATAAATTTCTTTGCGATTGAATTTTTGATCAATCGTCAAATTTTTAGGGACCATATTAGCACACAATTTTTTCATATTTAAAATTTCAACTAAAATTTTACGAACACTATCTCTATCAATATTTACCATCTCTGCTACAGCTCTAACACTTAATCGACGATCTTGCCGAATAATTTTGTCAATTTTTTTACTTTTTCGTTTGTTGAACATGTGGTACGACGTCCAGAATGATCATCGTCTTCCACGTCCTCTCTTCCATTGCAAAACTCTTTGTGCCATTAAAAAACGCGAGCTCTTGATAAACATTCTTCACCATAAACTTCACATAACATACGAAATGATTCTGTGGCAGTTTTTTTTAATTTAACAAGAAATTTAATGTTAACACGTTGTTCGATTTTTATATCTAACATTTTTCGGCAGTATAGTCGAATTTGCACTAATAACAAGGTTACTAACGTATAAGAAAGTTAACCGATTTCATCATTGTTTATAGTACTTTTAGATAAGTGTTTCCTAATCATATTTCAATAATAGTTTTATAGATAACGTTAATAGTTTAGGATATATTTAGAAAGTCTCGTTATTTTATTGTCACACCTCGTATTTATAATCCATCGAGTATTAACCTAACCAATACATGTATATTAACTCAAACATTTGAATATTCAAACTTTTATAACTACTAAACGAATAAAATTGTATTAAAAATTCAAATGCCAGTTACTATTAAATTAAAAACTTAAACATTTTATTAAATTCAAAACACGTGTTTCCATTAGAAAAAACAAAATTTACACCCTTACAAGGCATAAGGTATGTACTTAAAAAATATTACATACTTAATAATTCAAGAATAATGTGTAACTAAAGAGAACAAAAAAAAAATGTTTAAATTACATTTATTCTATGAGTAATTGAGTGGGCTATGATAAAAAAATCACTTTTTATATCTTCAATTAAAGCTTATGTAATATACTTTAATTTGAAAAATAAAAATTAAGACCTCTGGATTTGTTTTGTGGTATAAACGGACATTAAAGTTAAAGAAAAAAGCACAATTTTTGTGTAAAAATTAAAAAAAAAATAATAAATAGCTGTACTCAAACTTATTTTAAATTCATTTATGTTTATAAGAATTAATAAGTAACAATGGAGTATAAAGAAAGGGGTGAATAGGGAAAAAAATCCACCTTAATTTTTTATTTGAAAATATTAATTTTGATTTAAACCAATTTATATAAGTTTAAATCAAGTTAAATAAGTTTTTTTTATGAATTTAGTACGTTTAAGTTATGAGAAAAGATTGGGTACATAATATCCCCATCCCTTCCTCACAAAAAAATCAATATGAAATTCTCTTTGTGCACATTTTTTTTTAATTTCAAATTGACAACGTTTTATTACTTTTTAGAAAATGTACAACTAGACGTGTTTTTATTTTAAAATACAATTTTGTTATAAATTTTTAATTTATTTTTACAGGAGTTTAATCTTCCTATTAATAGACCTCTAGATAATGATACGGTTTACGATACAGAAATCATAAGTCAGCTTAGAAAAATCGAAAGTTTGTCTTTATGGAAATATGCCAAAGAGGAACTTATTGAATTATATTATCCTATTAATTCCCATAAAACACTTGAAAATATGATTAATAACTCGACAACGTACCAATTAACTGTTAATAAAGCTCTAAAAAAAGCAATAACAGCCATGAACAGACGAACTTTTAAGTATGCGCTTTTA